TTTACTGTTTAGAATTATGCCTAGCTGGTTTTCTGAAGTTCTCATTCTTTAAAAGCGAGGTGTAGTGGTGTGAGCCTGTAGTCCCAGCTGCTCAGGAGGCTGGGATAGGAGGATTGCATGAGTCCAGGAGTTCAAGCCCAGCCTGGGCAACATAGCAAGGCCTCATCTCTTAAGAAAAAAAAATCTTACTGAAAATTAAAATCTTTTTTTTTTTCTTTTTTAAGAGAACTTTAACTACATTATTGAGTTTTATGAGCTGACTGGGGATCCTATCAGTAATAACAGTGAAATTCAGAAGTCCTTTCTCTCATAATAGGAAATACAGGTTGGGGATTCCTTGTAGAAATGAGCATCTGTTCACTTTGTATTGCCCCCTCCAACCCTCTTCTACTTTCCTCCTGTCCTTCAAAAGCCACAGATACTGGGTTTATACTTACTTTGCATCGATACCATTAAGTGGGTTAGAGGAAAAAATATTTTAGCCTTTTTTTCAGAAAAATTGAAGCGTAAAGAGAGAAAAAAAATGATCTTTTCAAATATATTTTGTTTTTCAAATATATTTTGCCTTTGCCTCTAGACTCTTGGAGTGGCATCATAGCTAGCTCAGAATTAAAAAAAAAAAATATGTGGAATGTTTCATGAATTTGGGTGCCATCCTTGCCCAAGGGCCATGCTAACCTTCCCTGTATTGTTCAGCTTTATATACGTGCTGCCGAAGGGAGCACTGCCTTGGAGTTTATTATGCACGCGTATAGAAAAGGTTTAATCAAAGATCTGTGCTGGAGGGTGGAGTCAGTGGTCAAGCTAGTCCAGTTCTGCTGACGCTAAGAGAGAAAGGTCAGCTCAGCGTGCCTCATTGATAAGATACCTCGGTATACATGTAGGAATATAACAGTTATCAGTGAGGTAACCTTTATGCAGCAAACTTGGGGCTCCCGATTTGTGCCAGACACTGTGTGGTACTTCGGAGACTCGAAGAGGAAAGCAGGAGACTGCCCACCCTTCCATTTTCTTTTCTTTTCTTTTTTTTTTTTTTTTTTTGAGACGGAGTCTCGCTCTGTCACCCAGGCTGGAGTTTTTTTTTTTTTTTTTTTTTTTTTTTTTTGAGACGGAGTCTCGCTCTGTCACCCAGGCTGGAGTGCAGTGGCCGGATCTCACTCAGCTCACTTCCATTTTCTATGTCTAGGTTCTTGGGAAAGTTGTCTAACTTCCTGAGCCACAGCTTCCTCATTTCTGAAAAAGAAATGTCTGTAGAGCCATGCCTACTAAATGATCTGTCACTTCAATATTTGGCTCATTGTAAGCAGTCAGATAGTGGTGGCTTAAGCCCAGTCCACTGCCTACTGAAGTGAGATAGGTGAGCAAGCCATTGTACTGTGAGTAAGCCATTGTTTGGCAGCGTATAAGTGATTTGGTGGGAGGTTTGTATGCACAGGTGTAGGGAAATAGCACAGGTTGGTGCCTCATCCAGGAGGGGCTTGTATGAGGAGGAGGTGGTGGCACGTGAGCCAAGAATTGAAGCCCAATTAAGGAATAGCTGGCAAAAGGGGAAGGGCGTTCTAGCCAGTAAGAAATCTCTGAAAAGATACCCAGACTCTGCTAAAGCTCACGCTGTGAGGAGGGGGTGGGACCTAGAGAAGTATAAAATGGGTTTTTAAGCAAAGGAAGCATTTTTAAATTCTGATGAGGTATTGGATTAAGAATAGGCTTTGGTTTGGTGAAGCATTTGCCTGTGAAGCTTGGCAACTTCTGCTGTAAACTTTTGTTGTAAGGAATTCTGTGGGAACTGAGTGCTCCCCTCCCTTCCCCCCTGTGGTGGGATCTGAGCACACTCCGTGGTAACCCACCCACTGGTTTCGCAGTTGCTGCCAAATTCCACTTTCAGAGGGAAATGATTCTATTCCTTTCTGACTCTGAATGTTAAACAATCAAGAATACCCCTATGGACTTGGAGGGGTAGGTAAATATCTTTCTGCATGCAGTACTGCCTGGATAAGTCCGGAGAGTGCATCTTGTGTTTTAATGCTACTAAGAGTGGGAAAGTTAAGATGTAAGGAATATGTATTGCAGGAAGATACACTATATTGAAGCTGAACTTAATTGTAAGGCTTTATAATAGCAAAATAATCTAAATAAAGGTCTTCTGCCACCTCTAAATTCTTGTAAAAATTAATTTGATCAGATCCAGTGGCCTTAATTCCAAAATCCAGCATCTTTTGAATTTTTACTGTGTTTAAAGGCACTGTGGTAAATGTGATACCTTGTCACCTCATTTAATCGTCAAATAACTTTATGTACTAGGTAGTTTTCTTCTTCTTCTTCTTCTTCTTCTTTTTTTCCAGAGGAAAACTGAGGCTTTATAAAATTTGTGGTTGGCAGACCTGGGGTGAGCCCAGATAATCTGATGCCATTGGTTGTTTGTGTATGTATTTGAGACAGGGTCTCATTCTGTCACCCAGGTTGGAGTGCAGTGGCACAGTCAGAGCTCACTGCAGCCTCCGTCTCTCAGGCCCAAGAGGTCTTCCCATCTCAGCCTCCCGAGTAACTGGTACTATAGGCACGTGTACCAAACCTGGCTAAAATGCCATTGATCCTATCACAAAGCTAAAGCGGTTCTACCCTTTTGAATAGCAGCTCTTTTTCACAGAAATGATTTGTAGATTTAGTTTTTTTCCACCCTTTATTTCTATTCCTTTGCCTTAAAACAACTAAATGATTCATCTAGGGTTAGCACTTGTTTGAGGTCTTTGATTTTTTTTTTTTCCAATTTTTTTTCTCAATTACAGAGTGATATGTAATAATTTAAAGACTATTAGGTGAAATGTCAAGAGTGTTGGAGCTGTTACATAAAACATAAAATCTAACAGTGGCTGGGCGGGGTGGCTCACGCCTGTAATCCTAGCACTTTGGGAGGCCAAGGTGGGTGGATCATTTGAGGTCAGGAGTTCGAGACCAGCTTGGCCAACATGGTTAGGCCCTGTCTCTACTAAAAATACAAAAATTAGCTGGGCATGGTGGCGGCCTGGGACATGCTTCCAAGCTGCCTGGGAGTGTTCCATTCAGCCGTTTTTATAAGCAAGTTTTTAAAGGCAAAAAAGGGGCCCACGCAGGAGTGGGCAGAAACCAAAGTGTGTTCATCAGAATCTTCACTGGTTTACCAGAGCAATAACGTTGTTTGGTTACATGTTG